CAAAATATTCCTACATGACCTATAAGGACTTGTATGTGGGGCCTCTCCAACCATTCTGATCTCGCATGGCTCCCCATCCTCCCTCTGTCCCATGTATCCACTGCACACTTTCAGGGTAAGTGTGCATCTCCACCCTCATCACCATGTGAACTGCTACTCATACTTCAAATACCAACTCCAGGTCACCTCCTCAGGGCAAGCTCCCCTGGCCAAGCTGAGGCTCCTATTATAGAATACTATTTGTAAGGAAATGAAAGATGGGCTTCTTCACTGTGCCTGTTAGTTAAATTTTACATTTGTTGTGATTATCTATTTATTGTGTTTGATTCATATCTATCTCCCCCTGAGTCTTCATAAGGACTGCACCATGAACTCAGCATGGTGAGTACTTGTTCCTGAATCAATGGAAGCAGAGGTAGCTGGGTTGATACGGCCCTAGCCAGTGGTCCTATCTTTTCATAGAAAGGAAAATGTCTGGTTAAATCTAAAATTCAAGTGTTAATGGAAGATCTTTAAGCTTTGATAATGAGTGGACATTTTAACTAGATAGATGGTGATAGGCTCAAAGGCATTTACCCAGTAACTAAATTTTAAGAGGTATCATAAACTCTGAGCATAAATAAATACTAATCTTCACTTGTTGGTTTTTCAATAAACAATTTGTCATTTGCTGTTTACTCTAGGATTTAACATTAATGTCCTGTTTGTTGAATCCAGTGTTTTTCTCCCTTACTCCACCACCCAGTGCTCACCTTCTTTGGTACCTTGCTATCTTTTTGATAGTATTCAACAACTTCTCCTTCCTGAAATTCTCTCTGCCTTTGTTTCTGTGACCTGTACTTTGAATTTAATTTCATTTCAGCCAATATTTATTGGTCATCTGTGATGTGCCAGACCCAGGGCTATCATCATTCGTTTATTAACTCATTCATCAACATTAATTGAGTTCCTACTGGATTTCAGGCACTGTGCCAGTGACTGCAAACCAAACATGAATAAGCTTTGTAGTCTCTTGACCGAGGACATTGCAGGGTGGTATAGTGGAGGAGACTGGTAGCTGCATCCCAGAGCAGGGAGGTGATGACAGAGTGGAGCTCAGGGTCTGCATCCCTTGGAGAAAGAAGCAATTACTTCCCTACAGGGGAAGGGATACACTGCAAAACAGTGCATGGCACATGCTGAGTCTTCAATAAACATTTATCAAAGAAACAAAAAGCCTTCCAGGAAGAGAAAACAACACAAATGGGGTCTTCGGGGAGATATTGCTGACTAGAGTAGTGGGTTTTAACACAGTGGAGCAAAGCAATAGAGTCTCTATGGTCAGGGAATGGGGCCGTGATGGAAATGTTGCTTATCTGAAAAGAATACTTTCCTATTATTACTATTTAACTTATAAATTGTATGCACATGCATATTTAAAGCCATGCTACATAAAATTTTAAAGATTCAATTTTATACATTTATGTATCAAGAATGAGAATAAAATTACTTTTTCATAATACAAATTACAGAAATTAAAACTCAAACTAAAGAGCTGGTGGGATAAATATAGAAGCTACAAAGGTTCTATAGCAAAGCCATTGTCCTATTGAAGGTGGGGAGACTTTAACAAAAAGGGACATGAACTCTTTGGTTGTAAAGGAATGAATCCTGTGGGATTTGTTATTATATGTATATATATACACATACACACACGTATATATACACACACATATATACATATACATACATATATGAATACATATATACAAGTTATTATACTATTACATATGGTATATTCATGGCACACTATACCATATATGTGTATATTGCTAACTGTAAGGAATCAGTTCATGCAATTATGGAGATGAAGAGGTTCCAAGATCTATAGTCAGAAAGCTTGAGACCTAGGAGAAATGATGTTAGTTCTACTCTGAAAGCTGGCAGGCTTGAGACCCAGTAAGAACAACTTTTTCAGTTTGAGTCTAAAGGTAGGAAAAGACCCATGTTCAACTAAAGTTGTCAGATGGGAGTCCCCTCTTAGCCTTTAATCAATTATGCAAGGCCCACCCACTTTGGGGAGGACAATCTGCTTTACTCAATCTACAGATTCAAATATTAACATCATCTAGAAACTTTCGATATATCCAGAATAGTGTTTGACCAAATTCCTGGGAACCCTGTGTTAGTTTTATGTGTCAACTTAACCAGGTAATTTGACACATAAAACTAACCATCACATAGAATAATGCATACAAAAATTTCAGGAACTTTGCAGGTTACTTGGAATCATAGAAGGTTTTCAAGAAGGGAGCAATTGGATCCCATTAGCTGAAAACAGCTTAATAATGATTGCTGACAGATAAGTGGAAGGTAGACAGTGACAGGGTGGGGTATGGTGAGGCAGGAGAGGATGGGGTAGAACAAGATTGGGGAATGGTAAGTTATGTAAGGCATAAAGATGAGGTCTTTTTTCTCTCTCTCTGCTAATGAACCCATTCCCATTACTGTTGCTATATAACAGATTACCTGTGTTTAGTTGGAAGTGAACTCTGAGACAGGTTAGCATGCAGGGTGTTTCTTAAGGAGATGGACACTTATGGGAAGGAAAGAACAAGAATTGGGAAGAGGCTGGGCACGGTGATCCATGCCTGTGATCCCAGCAGCTTGGGAGGCTGAGGCAGGAGGATCGCAAGTTCAAAGCCAGACTCAGCAAAAGTAAGGCACTAAACAATTCAGTGAGACCCCGTCTTTAAATAAAATGCAAAATAGGGTTGGGGATGTGGTTCAGTGGTTGAGTGCTCCTGAGTTCAATCCCTGGTACTCCCCCCCAAAAAAATAATTGGGAAGAAGACAAAGTGGAGTAGCAATACAGACCCCACAACAGCCTCAGCTGACCCCATGGAGTTCTGGAGTTAGACTCTCCTTTCAGAGTTGGCCCAGGACAGGCTGAGACTGTTGAACCTTTGTTTCTGTGTTGTTCAGTCATGAGTGGGGTCACTGTGGAGAAGAGCATGAGTGTGGCACCGCAGCTCTGCAGTTGAGAAGATCCCTGAAGAATGGCCAGGGGTGTACTGTCCACTCACAGCATCCCCAGGAGCCCTGCCTTCATTCCAATTTCAGCAAACATGTCACTCTCTCCATTTTACCCACTGATTATTTCATGGACATCATTTTGCCTCACTATCTCCAGCCCCGGCCATGTTATGCATCCCCAAGGAAAGAAACAGAGCCTATTCCCCACTGATGTTCAGCACAGAGAGAAGCACATACAGATTTTAAGGTCAGAGCTCAGGAGATGCTTGGTGACCGGCTAACCAGGTCCTCCAACTAACATACAGATGGCCTCAAAATTAGTTTCCCATTACCAATGCAGAAGGAATGGTTTAGGGACGCTCCTCGTTGTCTCTCTGAGGGAGACGAGGGTCAAAGCTCTCTCTGGCTGCTCACAGTTTGCTGTGCCAGGGCCCCACTTGGAAGTGTGCTTGTCTTATTGAATTGTGCCAGAGGTGCTCCCCCTCCCTCCCCAGCTGGGACCCTTCTTGGTCTCACAAGGCGCTGTGTGTATTTAACTAATTAGTGGTTATAAAGTGTCGCCCAAATGCCAAGTATAATTATGGTGAGCAATTATTTTTGCCTGGAAAGGCAGTATTTCAGCCCTCGTGGAGGGAGAGAATGATAAATGATAGCATGTTCTCTTGAACCTGTTGGAGCAAGAGCTATTTTCCTACCCTCAGAGGGTCAGGACCCTGGATAGAGTTCTCCAACACCAGAAGGCAGAATCCCCAGGGGCTCATCTTTATGGATGCCTCCCTGCTCTGGAGAGAAGGAAAGGCATGTTGGAGGGCACTGCCAGGCAGCTTTAGTGGGTGGCTAGGTTCTGAAGTCAGGACCTCTCCTCCCCTGGGACCCAGAGGGGTTGTGGGCAAAATCACTTGGGGGTATTCTACATTGTCTGAAATTTGACAATAGCCTGTGCAATCAAAATAATGCATTAGAAATAAAGCATTTTGAGGCTCCCTAAATGGAAAATTTTATGTGGTTTTTATATTTAGAGATCTGTTTCTCCCTCTGGGCAAACTTTATAAATAACCATTGGGAATGCTGAACAGAATTCAATTTCCATATTGATTCTGTTTCTCTTTTCATGTAAGAAACACCAAGGAATTTTATATCTTGTGACCTTTCTCCCTGAAGGTTTATAGAATTAGATAATGTAAACAGACAGGTATATAGGAAAGGAAGAAGGAAACAAAAGTGTAGAGATAATACAAGCAAGGGTTTATTGAAAATGGCAAAATTCTATATATCTTGGCGGGGGGGCAGTACAGGGGAAAGTGCTCTTCCACTGAGCTACCTACCTTTAGCCCTCCATGTCATATCTTGAAATACATCAGAGTCATCTCAATATCCTTACCTCTCATAGTAAAATTTGTAGGCTATGCTAGTTAAATTGCTATATGTCCAGTGTGATTCTAAGGTACTTCCAATGTTATCTTCTTTATGTCTTACTTTAACCCTGGAAGTAGATACTATTATCAATACATTTTATGGAGTAGAAATTGAGGCCTCAGAGAATTAAGTTACTTACAAGTGTCAGTGTGACTCCAGAGCCAGGTCTCCTAACATCTCTCTGCCAAAGGCTGGGGCATGCCACATTGTGTAGGAATTACCATTTCTATAAAGTAGAGCCAGGTACTGAAAGGTCCTGGGATCAATGAGGATATCCTCATGCCAGCTCACTCTGGACACAGGAGGACCATTTTTTCACCCCTTTCATCCAGGGACCTTGCAGTTTCAGAAGCTTCTCAGTGAAGCTTTCTTATATCTAAACATCTGAGCCTCTTCCAAGAGGTTGAAAGTATCGAACCAGAGTGAAATCTGAGTCCGTGTCCATTATTTACACTCACTCAGAAATAACCTTAGCAAAAGATGTTATTTCATGTGAAACACTTTCATTTACACACCTAGAGGAAAAATTTTTGCTGATGCATGCCCTATCCTTCACCAATCTAAGGCAGTTCCTAATGCACAGTCAGAGCAGTCCGGATTTTTTCTTCATAACACTCATCGCAGTATGGGATTATACATCAGTGTGTCTGTTTGCCCTGTGTTTTAGTCAGCTTTTTAACTGCTGTGACTAAAGGATCTGACCAGAACAATTTTACAGGAGGAAAAGTTTATTCAAGGGCTCACGGTTTCAGAGGTCTTAGTCCATAGAAGGCTTGCTCCATTCCTGGGGGCTCAAGGTGAGGCTGAACATCAGGGCAGGATAGTGTGGCAGAGGGAAGAAGCTCACATGATGACCACAAAGCAGAGAGAGACTCCACTCTTCAGATACAAATATATATACTCCAAAGCCACGCTCCAATGCCCCACCTCCTCTAGCCACACCCCACCTGCCTTCAGTTACCACTAAATTAATCCCATCAGGTGATTGATGCACTGATTGCGTTAAGGCTCTCCTAACCCAGTCATTTCTATGAAACTTCAATTGTTTCACATGTGAGCTTTTGGGAGACACTACATCTAAACCATAACACCCCACCCCGTGTCTCTCTCTTTTACCAGAATGTAAAACTCCATCAGGACAGCAACTTGAGTTTCTGTGATTCTGTGCAACATGCCAGGCACTCAACAATGCCTAGCATGGAACAAACAAGCCTGGTGGAAGAGTAGAGGATGATCTGGATGGAGCCATTTTTTTTTCCCCAGAGAAAATGCTGTCACAAGCTATAAGAGAAAGATGCATTTCTGAAACATTTAAAAATCCAGCTAAATCTTCAGACAATATTTTTCAATATACCATTTCTTTTGTTCTTCTTGTTTTTAATTGGAGATTGGACCCAGGGGCACGCTACCATTGAGCAACATCCCCACATCCCCAGCCTTTTTTATTTTGAGTCAGGGTCTCACTAAATTGCTGAGGCTGGCCTCGAAATGCCTCAGCCTCCTGAGTTGCTGGATTTTACAGACATGAGCCACCACAGTTGGTGATTTCAATCATTTTTGAAATGAGGACAATGAATGGATTTCTGCTGTGGTTAAGAACACCAGTCCTGGAGTCAGATGGACTGATTCTCGTCATGTGATTTGGATAACTCACCACATGGTGGTAGTTTTAAGTGCTAGAACCTTGGTGTATATATTTCTTTCTGGGTAAAGGGGGATTGCCGCAGTCTGGCTGGGCACAAATAACCAAGCCGCCACAAAGCCTTGTAGGTTCAAAAAGCAACTCTTTTTTTATTCCTGAACTCTCTCTGGCACTCTACACACACTTCCCAGGAACACACACACTCCACCGGGCTCCGCGCACCAATTCTCCCGGAACCCCGCGAGAACTCAACAGGAACTCCAAAGTAGCGGGCAGGCGGCGCCCTAGGCAGCAGGATCCGCCCTAATCCTGGAGCAGGGTCACCTTTCAACCATTCCCTCTAGCAAAATGCCAGGGGTCATTCCGACTAAACTGTGGCTCTCAACAGGGGATAATACAAATGACAAAGCAATGATTAAAAAAAAAAAACTGAATAAGTTAACACAAGTGTTCAGAACCACGTCTAGCACATGGGAATCCCTTATATATATGGGTTATTCTTATCAGTGTGAAGCCAGATTTAAAGTTAGGTAGTCAGTGTAGTTAGGTAAATCGGGTCTAATATCATATCGAGTGAAATCTAAAATGGAGGCCATGCTGATAATGATTCCAGAAACGCAGGACAACTCAGGGAATGTTAATGAAGTCCCGGAAAGGCCCTAGGCCAAAGTCCACCCCAAAGAAATGTTAATGGAACCCAGGAAACAGCCCCCAACAGATTTGGAGATAGCCCATCCCAAAGAAGTGTTAATGAAGTCCTTCCTGCCCAGATTACTTCTTTGGCCCACCTGTGTCCCAACCCTTCCCCCTTACATTCCATCACCAAAACTATAAAAAGGGGAGACAACAGCACTTCCACGGATTCCACCTCTTGGGTCCCCTTCTTCCTCCCGAGAAGTCTTTTCTGCTGTCCTTTAATAAACTTCTAATTTCTACTCTGACCTTGCCTCGGCGTGCTTCTTTGGTGTTATTCTTCAACATTGGGGAAGCAAGGACAACAGCGGTAACAAGTGCACTATTAGTTTGGGACTCAGTTATGCTGCAAATTTGTATTATCCCTGGGAAGAAAACATAAAATCAAATGGAAGCCAGGTGTAGAGGCTTCTGGGCCCTATACTCCTGCTGTGGAATTTCCTCAAGGGGCCAGAGAACCTTCCCCAACACCCCATTATAAGTGTTATTCATTTTAATACAGTGTGCCCCAGGTCTTGGAAAGCAGGGGATTCTTGGTCTCCTGAGGCCTCTGGCACAGGTTCTTCCTTGCTCACCTGCCTGGTTACATTAGACTCTCCAGAAAGATCTTTCTAATTCAGAGAAACTGTGACTCCACAAATAATTCAGATCTCACCAAAAGTCATTCAAGTCCTTTCTTCATTCCTTTCTCCTCCACCCCTGCCTGGCCCTCCTCTTCCTAGGCTCCAAGATTCATTCTTTATGTGTCCACTGGTTATGGCCCTTGCTTTAACCCACACTCCAGTGTTTCCCCCAGTTACCTGCAACAGACAGGAGTCCAGATTTAATTGTAAATATTCACTTCTCTAAGTTTTTCAAAAATATTAATTCATAACCCATAGAAACCCAATGAGGTTTCTCCAAGGGGGAAAAAGAGGTTGAAGATCTTGTCCATGGTCACTCAACCATATAGTGGCAGAGCCAGGATTTGAGCCAGCCTCTAGGCCCTCGACCATCACACCAGCAGGTCTTTGAGGGAGAGTCTCCTACTCTCACCTGGGAGAGCTCTCCTTTAACTTCCTCCTCAGGGTCATTGGTAGGTAAGTGAGAGAGACCAGCAAAGATGTGTGCACAGACTCAAACAAGCACTGGGAACCGTGGGCTCTGGACTGGACTGCATGGGTTACTGTGCTGGATGGACTCTTTATTTACTAACCCTGAAAAATAAATGGCAAGAATAACAATAGCACATACTTTGGGTTGTTGTTTTGAACTCTAAGTTAAAACATAGTGAGCCCATAGAACAGTGTCTGGCATATAGCAAGTGCTCAATACTTTCTCTCTACCTTGTTTTGTTTTATTTTTTTCTGTGTTTTTACATTCTCAAGACGCAGAAGCGTCAATGTTTTTGTAGTGAGAATGGCAGCCTTGGGATTAGAAGATCAGGTTTTGGTGCCAGCTACCTTTTACTTCCTGTCTAATCACAAGTGATATATTTTCCTCTCTGAGGCTTCAATTTCCTCGTCCCTAAGATTAGTATGAAAATAGCTTGACTTGCTGAGATAATACCTATGAAAGAGCTTTGTAAATTCTAAATTGAAAACATTGTAAATAGCAATTAAAGAATCCCCCCATCCTAGCAGTTAGGGCTCTTCCCATGAGTATGCACACGGCTGCTTTTCAGAAGGTCTTTGCACTAATGAGAACTTCACCTTTCAGAATTCCACCACTGCTGGATCATTATATGATTCTCCCAGACCTCTTTGGTTCTCCAGATCCCTCTGTAGAGATAAATCTCATCTATTTGGAGGTACAGAAGTCTCAAGAATGACTCTTGTCTTAAAGGAGCTGAAAGGTTGTCACAGGGTCAACATAGCAGATTTCTGAGTGGAAGTGTTAAGTGACATATTTGGTTCCAAGAAGAAAAAGAGCACTCTTATGAATGTTCTTATTCTTTTCCCTCAGAAAGTGGAACCTACTCTGACAGAAAGTGAGGGCCCTGTCACTGGAGGCAATCAAGCAGAGACTTGGGGCCACTCAGTGGGAACACAGAAAGTGTAAGGAGGAAAGTGTAACTAGTTGACCAGGGCCTGGAAAAGTCTAGTTCATCCTAGGAATGCAACGGGCTGTGAGGGAGGGCTCAGGAGGGGCATGCAGCAAGCCCTGGAGGGCTGCAAAGCCTAGGCGGGCTGCGAGCCCAGGCCCAGTTCGGCTGAATTCATGATTTTCCCGAAATTTTTTAGTTCCTGTTTCTTTGGCTGCTGTAGGTCCCAGAGCCAAGAACTGTACACATTCACTCATTCAGTTCCATCTGCAAACATTTACAGGCCTGAGAGGCAATTCCCGCAGCGGACCCCGCCTGGGATTGCGGGAACTGGTGAGCCTACTGACTGCGGCCGGCAGGGGGCAGAAGAGACACGCGGATGCCGGATCCCGTGCGGGCCGCGCTGTGCTGTCCCGCTGGGGAAACTGGGTCATTCGGTCCTGCTGCGGTAAACATCGCGGCGGGGGTCGGGGGTCGGCTCGCTGGGCCTCTCCAACAAGGGCTGTGAGGCCCCACATGCCACCTGGCAGCACTGTCGGAGTCCTCAGGCCTCTGGGCTGGCAGAAGTCACCTTGCCTGCAGAAGAAAGGATGAGATTGATGACATCGGATGGCTCTGGGCTGGGGGCAGAAGACCAAGCAAGGACCTCTCTTCCCAGCAAAGGTTGTTTTAGAATTGATGAGACATCAGGCCTGCCAACGCAGAGATGGGTGGGCGATTTGCTTTGGACAGAGAGCCTGGAACCTCACCAGAGGAGTTCTCCTGGGCCTCAATTTAAACCTCCAGTTGGAGTTAGGCCCACTGGTTAAGTGGCCAGCTGCAAATCTGATAGTTTAGTGGATAGGAAGTGGATCTGGAGTCAGATTTGCTTTTTGTCCTCGTTTTGCCACCTACATGTCATAAGACCTTGGATCAGTCATATTCAGACCTCATTTGCCTTTTCTGTAAACTGATAGAGCTGCTATGAAGATAAAGTGAAAGAATAATCAAGTGTGTTAAAGTGTTGTACTTTCTTCTCCCTATCTACCTCCCATCCGGGTTGGGATGCACATGCTTAGATAACATCTGAGGCAGCTGAGTAGGGCGTGCCCACTGTGCTGCTAGTCAGGGCCTGGAATGCGGTTCTGGGTAGAGCATGGCCCACCTCCCCCAACTTCCCCTTCAGCACCCTGCTACCAAGAAATTAGAGGGTCTGGGGATGCCTTTCCCTGTCTCCCTCTAGTGGTAGCTTCTTGAGGTTTTCGATGGTTGAGAAATCAGGGAAGTAGGACAGTCCTGGGGGTGGGGGTGGGGGAACCAGACTATTCCTCAAACTCCATTTCTCCTTTTGAATTCTGATGTTTAGAAGGGTCACTTGAAGTTATAGTCAAGGACCAGTTTATGTGGATGAACCTGGAGAACGTAATGTTAAGTGAACTAAGCCAGACACAGAAAGACAAATACTGCATGATCTCACTTATGTGTGGAATCTAAAAAAGTTGATCTCATACGAATAGCAGTTACTAGAGGCTGGGAAGGGTGGGGGGGAAAGGATAGTGAAGAAACTGGTTGGTTAATAGTCAAAAATACTGTTCATAGGAATAAATTCTGATGTTCTATAACTCGGTAGGGTGACTATAAGTTATAATAATCTATTGTATATTTCAAAATAGCTAGAAGGGATATTGAATGTCCTCAACACAAAAACATGATAAATGTTTGAGATGATGGATATGCTGATTACCCTGAACTGATTATTACACGTGGTATACAAGTATTGAAATATCACATTGTACCCCATACATATTTATAAATATTCTGAGTCAATTAAAACTGACAGGTTTTATTTTTCAAAAAAAAAAAATGGAACAGTTTATGCACTCTTCAAATTTTGTTTTCTCCACTAAGACCTTGAAGCAAGGGCTATACTGCCCCTTCCTTGACAACAGAGAGATGGCATGTGCTGATGTATAAAGTCTCAGAACAGTGCTCAGAAATCCTTGATTGTTAATGAGGAAGGAATTGTGGAGAAATAATTTCAGTTCTTGGTTTTATTGATAAAAAAAAAATACATAAAACTGAGGCTCAGAGAATCGTGAGACCAGGGAAAGGGAAATTCCCATCCTTTTTTGTTATTGCTAGAGTCCTCACCTGTGACCATTTGGAGAAACTGGGTAGATCCTCACAGTGAGCTGCCCAAACTTAGGAATCTCTCTGGTGCTTTGGGGATCACTCTTTGCCCACATCCTTCTTATTGAACTCTGGTCATTGCTTATGTTACCCAACCTCAGGAGTGAGGCAGACTGAGCTCTCCCGACAACTGACCTCCAGGGCTCCAAGGACGGCAGGTGCTCTGAGGTTGAGGGTTATTGCATCAGGTATGTGGCAGCAGCAGCGTAATGTGATAAAGCAGTCACGTGATCTGGGATCCCTATGTACTTGCTGTTAGACCAAGGCAAGATACTGCCAAGTCTCAGTGTCCTCATCTATAAAATGAGGACAATAATAGGTACTATGTTTTCCAATTGCTCTTAACCTGAAATTGGAGGCAACTTTAAACCAAACATCCTTCTTTTCCCTTGGAAAGCCAAACAGCAGACCAAGAAGGAAAAGGGTGGAAGCTGGTCTTTGGAATCTTCTAGTCCAGGCCCTGGGAGATTTTGAGTGGTCAAAATAACCCAGGGTAGGGAAATGGGACCAGGGTTTAGTGGGTCTGTGTTCCCAGATTGCTCTGTGACCTTGTTCTAGTTGCTGAGCTTCCTTGGGCCTTAATGTCCTCCTCCAGACAGTGCGAGGTACCTGCAGCCCTGCACCTACTGAGACTCTCAGTCCTCCTGGAGAGGGCCCTGGTTCTTTGGGATGCAGCCCAGGCCTCACACAGCCACAGTGGCTGACAGGCAGCACTTTGATGGACTCTGGCCCTCTTCCCAGAGGAGGTCACTCGGCCCCAGGGAAGCCCCTGGTTTGCTGGTTTGGATGATGCGAAGGGACAGGCAACAGGGACTTTGGCCTTTTGGCATCTGGTTCCAGCCAAGGCTTTTCAGGGAAGGATGAGGACAAGCAGCAGGGCTGGCAAAGCATTGATAAACAGCCCAGAGCTCAAATTCTGCGGTCTTGCTTTGAAATCCACACCCTCAGTTGCCTAGGAAATGAAGATGATCTGAAAGGAGGCAATGTTCAGGGGCCCGGGTGAAGGTTCCATTTGAAAAAACCTGGGTGAGGAGTGGATTCCGTGTGCTAGGAAAGTATTGAAAGGAGGAGGCTGGTGCAAGGGAGGGTGAGCAGGGACTGGGGCAGGTAGCCCAGCCCTGATTCAGTCAGGCACTAAGCAGTGATTCAGCGTGTGCTCCATGTGTGACTCCATAACAGCTGTGGGGGTGACATCAGGGGGTTCAGGGAGAACTGGCTTGGAGGACTTGGTGCTCCATGAAAAAAATGTATGTGGTGTAGACCATAAACACGAGAGTAAGAGGTCTGAGAAGGAAGAACTTAATCCCGAGGTCTTCATGGACCCCCAGGAGATGTTCTTGAGCTGGCTGCTCTTCCCTGTCAGCCAGCAGAGGATGGATTGCCTCCCTCAGGCAGGGAACTCTCTCAGAATTCAGACACATTCATTCAACAACTATCTAATGCCGGTTATTTCTGACTCGGTAAAGCGGACTCTCATGCATTGACTCATTGAATCTAACAACCTCTCTCTGCAGTCAGGGAGATTGGTACAATCATGATCATTCTTGTCTGGAGACAGAAAACCAAGGGCCAGGCAGAAGTGCCCCACCCAGGGCCACCTAGCTTCTGAGGCTTGGAGCTGAAATTTGAATCTGTGTCCATTTATCTTTGAGCCCTGTGTCCATTCCAACAGGATGCCAATCCCAGTGTCATCCTGTTGCCTTATCACTAGGATGGACACCTCCCCCACCATCTCTGCTCTATTCAGAGTGGGTAGATTTTGGAAGAAATGAAGACATTTTCAGGGAAACCCAGATGTTCTGGTTGTCTGTCACCACTGTAACTAAGAAAACAGATCAGTATTCACGGGGTCATCCAGCGAATGCCCCGGGGCCCTTGGACTAGGCCACAGGCCCTCTCTTCACAGAATGTTTCGGCTGGGGCCTGGTGTTTTCTGAGGTCCCCTTGAATCTTAATGCCTCCATTTCCACTTGGTGACTCCACTCCAGGACTTCTTGGTGACTCATGCAGAGGCAAAAACCTGGCCTAGCTGAGGCAGAGCCACTGGAATCCTGGTGAAGGCCTCTCAGTAATCAAATGACCTTGAGCAAATGTTTGAACCCTCTGGGCCTGGGCTTCCTCATTTTTTAAAAAATTGACAATCAACCACATCAAACAAACTTTCAGCTTTCCTCTGAGAATTGAATGAGTTAACCCTTGTGAAGGCACCTAAGATATTCAATGAATGCTATTTTTTATGGTACAGAAAAGGGGGGTTTCACGACTAGAAAAAAAAATTATGGGAAGGATAATCCCTGACAGCAATGAAAACATGCCAGTGCCCTCTGTCCTTTGCTTGTACTATATTATCTCAATTAATCCTCCTAACATCCCTGTAAGGCAGGTAGTATGTATCCCCCACATTTTGCCAATAAAAAAGCTGAGACTCCAAGGTTACTGCCCAAGGTCAAGGTGATTCAAGCTCAAGTACTGCACACTTAAGGTGCTCTGTGACAATTCCTGCTTTTCTCCCCTGAAGCCTTCCCTGAAATGAGCTCTCATACCATCTTTAGATTTTTAAAAAATATTTTTAAATCGTAGGTGGACAACACAATACCTTCACTTAATTTTGATGTGGTACAGAGGATCGGACCCAGTGCCTCCCATATGCTAGGAGAGCGCTCTACCACTGAGACAACACTGAGCCACAACCCCAGCCCACCATCTTTAGATCTTATTTTAGAGCAAGCAAGGGCCTCCTGCAGGGAGCTTTCTGTCCCTCCTGCAAAGTCACTGGTTTCCTAAGAACTCAGAACACTATTATCTCTTATGTTTTTCCATGAATTATACCTGTCTGTATATCTGTCTCTTACGCTAGGCAGATGCTCTTGAGGACGTGGACAGAATCTTATTCTATTTATCTTTGTTTCCTCTCCGTATAACTATTACCCCAGAGCTCTGCATACAGTAGGTGTTCCATAAATGCCTGTTGACAGGTGTGTGTTAGGGAGAGTGAGTAAAGCATGAGAGAAGAGATTGGAATCCCCGCTCCTATTGATTGTGTGGCTCTGAGAAAATCACTCAATCTCTCTGGTCCTCCTTCACTCTCTTCAATCTAAAATGGGATGATGGTATCGACCATCGTGGGATTATTGTGGGGAAATGAAATGGAAAAATGTGGGCCTAGCAATTGCACAGTGCCCAGCCAATGGTGTATGTTTCAGCACCAACATGTGGAGACTGAACCAGGAGATGACTGTGACGAGGAAAGAAAGAGGTAGCCCCACGAGACTTGTAGAAACAAGGACACTACTGAAGACCAAACTTGCCTGCATCTTAGGGGATGGTGAAACAGAGAGAGATAAAAAGGAAGGAGATATTTTAAGGAAAGTTTAGTAACATGGAAAGGAGCCAATGCAATGAATGTAAGGCTTCTGGGCCACGGGAAGGGGGCCGAATAGAAGCAAGAGAAGACTGAAGCAGCAGCCCAGAGACTCTGTCCAGAATGAAAGAAGGAACCTGGGGAAAGAGGCTGCCAACCCAAAATGAAAAAGGCGGGACATGGGGAGGGGGGAGGACGACATTGCAATCCAAGGCGGCTGTGGAAGGAGCAGTATGTGTCTCCATCCAAAAAGAGGATCCGAAAGCCAAAAAAGATGAATAATCCAGGCACCGGGCTCAAGGCAGGAGGCAGATGTTCATTTGTGGCTTGATGAGCACTTGACTAAGCCTCTTTAGCTAGTTTAAGAAACCACTTCTCATGCAGTTTAGACTGACATGTCTTAAAGAGGGGCACGGGCCTCTCCAAGATCCCACTGGGAAGAATCAGAGAGCAGTGGAAGTGGAAGGCCCCCAGGGGGCCTCCGGAAACAATTGGAGGCCCTGCATCCCAGGATGGGTGGCAGGAAGTTGCCAGAGCACAGAGAGGGTCTTCTGTTGGTAGTGCTCTGGGCCTCTTTGGCAAATCCAGAAGGATTATTTCTGAGTTTCAAATCTAATCTTTGCAATGTGAACCAAAATTTGCTAACACAAGAATTTCTGTCTGCAAGAGGTAGGTATATGGAGGCCAACATTAGGGACCTCTTCTGATAATTCAGGAATAAGGGGCTGATCTCATCTGGAGTTCTGGCTCCCTTCTGCACAGCAAGAGCGAAAGAGGCTTGCCAAGTGGCAGAAGCCAAGTCATTAATCAGCCCACAGGAGCAGAAATGGTCTTTCTGGCCTTGAGATCTGAGTGAGATTGTCCAGAGCCATTTGCAGACTAACTTGAAGTACATAGAGAAACAAGGAAGGGCAAGGAAGTACCTAGGGAGGCGAAAGTTCCATCTGTCACAGAGCCTTGAGGCAGACTTGCCCTACCTGTTAACTAGAAATAGTAGCAGGAGCCAGGAGCTCTGAGGTGTACCTCCAACCAGAAGCGATGTTGAGCCCAGACAGATGTGTGCATGTGTGAGCACACAGCCTCCAGCAGGTCCAGGTTGGTGGGGTGGGGTTCTGCTCTACTCGGTCATTCAGAGATCCAGGTGGCCAAGGTTTTACTATCTCCAGCCAAGGCTGCCATGGTTTCAACATCTAGCTGGTGGGGAAAGAACATGCAGACCGCACCTATGACGTTTCTAATGGTCAGGTCTGGAAACGGTGCACATCATCTCACATTCCATTGGCCAGAACTCATTCCCAAGAACACAACTGAACTGCAAGGGAGGCTGGGAAATGAACCCCACTCAGGTCTCAGGGAAGAAGGTGAAATAGACTTGGTGATTAGTCAGGAATCTCTGTCACATGCCTAAAAACCCAGGGGACATTTGGTGATGAAAGATTGAGAAGAGACACTGGAGAACTAAACAGATTAGAAGAAGGGTGAGGGGGCTTGGAAAGCTCTCCTGCCCTGGGTTAGCCTAGCAGCACCCACTTCCTTGCCTCAGGACCAGGGTGTCCTGAGGGGAACACATGTGGTGGGAGTAGGCAGGTGGGATTGGATGTGGGGAGCTCGAGACCTTGGCCTAGCGGAAGGGGAGCTCTGAAGGCCTAGAGGATATTCCAAAGGAAGGCAAGGACCAGGTCACTTAGAAAGGCTCCGGTTACAGATGGGGCAGACTAGGGAACCTTAAGTCCAGCCCAGGTCACCAGAGTAGGAAAGAAGGCAGGGACCCAGAACACAGTGCAATACCCCTGAGCCATTCTTCTGTGCCCCTTTGTGGGAGAGGGCCATGGAGCCAGGGAGCAGTAGAAGGAGGCAACTGAGAGTCCAGCAGGCAAGAGAAGCATCACTGCCTGGATGGGTGTGACCAAATGGTAGAGCCAGGAGCCCCACATATCTCCAGAGGAGGCGCCCTGAGATGGAAGAGGGAGAAAAAAGAAAAAGAAATGGAGCCAGAAAATCTACATGGCATAAAAGATGTGAGTTGATTTTGGTGCTGATGTTCCTCTGGGGTGTCACAGACCTACCTATAGAACTTTCTACAGTGATGGAAATGATCTCTTATCTGCTCTGTCCACTGTGAAAAACCACCAGCCCCATGTGGCTATTGAGCCCTTCAAGTGTGGCTAGTGTGACTGAAGAACTGAAATTTAAGTTGTTTTAATTAATGTCAGTTTTAGTTAGTGTTGATTTAATTAGCTACTGTGGCTAGTGGCTATGGTACTGAACAGCACAGGCACAATTTCTGAGCAATAGAAGTAGGGTGGTGGGCTGAGGGCTGAGCTGACCCTGCTCAGTTTCTGCCTCATTCTCTACTCCTGCCCCTTGGCCCCATCCCAGCCTTGCCGTGTAGGTGAGACCTGGTAGACAGCATCTCATTCTACCACCAGGATTGGGTCTTTGACATTCTCATGTGTCCCCATGGATCTCTGCGGCTGACCATTACCTTGTAGGGAAGAGAGATTGGTCAGAGTGCTGGACAGCCAGAAGTGCCACCAAATCTTCATGGACCTAGTTCTAGAGCTCCAAATGGTGACTGGACACAGTGTTCTCTGTCCTTGGTTTCTAGATGCTCAGGGAAAGTGTCACAGCTCAAAGATGGGAAGCCCAATTGTATCTACCACTTACCTGCTCTGTGCCCAGACGGTCTAAATGGTAAACGATTTCATGTCTGCTCTCTTTGCACCCCATTCCCAGGCTTCATTGTGAATCTAGAACATCCTCTCATCTGGTTAGATCAGCTGAACCAACTCTGCCTTGAAGCCTGTTGAAGGAGAATTTTATCAATAGACCTGAATCTCCATTTCTGTGTGCCTGAGGGCCCCCAGGCCTGGGACTGTCTTGCCCCTGCTTCCAAGCCAACACCTGAGTCCCTTGAGTTTGCTCAAGACTTCCCCTTGCCCACCTCTCAGCATGGGCACCAAGCTACAGGGACAGGATCACATTGGTTCCTGCTCTCCTCTCTAGACTCAGTGGTCTTTTCCCCTCCTCTCTCTGTTCTTCTCTATTATCTTCCCCTTTCATCCTCTGTACAGGAGACAGAGTTGGCTGGTCCCCAAGTAGTATTTGCAGGTGACTAAAGGGAGTTTATAGGAGCATTATGGAGCTTAGCATGGTCACAGGGCCTGTGGACCCAAGTCCAGGTGGGGTCTGACCTGCTTCCTGCCCTGCTTCACAGGGTCAGTCTTTCCTCAAACCCAGCCTTTGCTCCACACACTCTCCTTGTGTGCTGAACTGAAATCTTCTTCAACTCCCAGCTCAAGCTGTACTCAAGTCCCTTTCTCTGGTCTCATCAAGCCTCCCAGGCACCAGAAAATTCTTTCTGAAGGGCAAAGCTAATGATATCCGGCCCTGTGTGACATCCTTCAGTGAGTCTTTAGTGGCTCCCTAGAAGAGGGCAGACATCTTAGCATGACTTAGAAGACTGTCCCAACCTGTTCTTCTCTAACCAGCCTTCTTCACATGAGGTTGTGATGGTCCTGAGGAGGTCCAGTCCTCTGGGCATAGCCAAGGTCATGCACAGTTCCTGTGAGCCAGATCCAAGTCCATCCATTCCCTTCTACTCAAGAAGTGCCCTTATCTGTATCACCGCTTCCATCGGTTCAGACATGCCACCTCTGGAAAACATCCCCTGTCTCCCTAATGTCACCCATAAGTGTTTCAACAGGCCTCTTGAGATTCTGTACGACCACCTACATGGGTTTTGTGAGTTTAATTTCCTTATCTTTCCCTGCACCTGCCCTCAGGCACACAGTACCCTATTGGACTCATTCAGGCCAACCAGTTAAGTGGAACTAAGTCCGCTCTGACCTCCAGCCTGGGAGGCTTTCTCCCAGTTGAAGAAAGATGAGGGAATGAATGCAGGATCTACAGCAGAGTCTATCAAGTGCTCTTCACAAATTATATACTATTAAAAACTGTTGTTTCTCATGCGTCCTGTACCCCAGCCCTCTCCGGGCCGGGAAAAGCAGAGCCCCAGGAACTGCTGGCTCGCTCTCTCTCTCTCTCTCTCTCTCTCTCTCTCACAGAGCAGGTGCTCCATTCCTAGCTTTTGAATAACAAACTCAGCGCTCCACTCAGGATGAAGCCGAGCTCAGTCACGAGTTTCGGCCTTGTTGTTCTGTTGTCTGCTGGTTTACCGAGCGATGCTGAGGACCGTCTGAGGGATGACTGGTGTAAGCGGCTCATCCCCCCCCCCCACCACACCCTTTCTGAAATTGGAGTCAGAGACTCTGAAACTCAGGCCAACATGCTCTCCCATTTCTGGACTGCTCTCTTGGGACCCGCTTTTCACGGCCTCCCCCGTCCCCACAAGCAGGCGAGACATCTTATTCATGGATGCTCCTTCTGTGCAGGGCTTTGGCGGTGGCTGCTCCTTCACCACTCTGCCGCTCGCTCAGCCAGGGCCCTGCCAAGCCTCCTCCTCCACACCTGATGGTGTACCTGGCTGGGTTCTCAGCCTCTCTTGGGATTACTTTCTGTGGTTACAAGTTGGGCTCTCTTTCCCCCTCTACTTTGAAGGAACACCTATGGCGCCTGGACCATCACCAAATTGACACCCAACTCTCTTTCTTTCTTCCCACCTCTTTGGGTGCACCCCGTAGGGCCCTCACTGGTGCCCTCCTTACACCGTCCTCTGGCACTGAACCATATTTGCGCTCCTTGAACCTCAATTGCGTGAATGTCTTTACCTCCCTCAATTGTGCGGTAAATTCCTTAAGAGCAGGCTGGGGCTTAGTACAGCTCTGCAGCCTCCCACACTGTCCGCATTCTCCCACAGGCTCTTGCACGTGGTAAGCTTTAATGCTTCTTATTGATCACTCAGAAGTGGAAGCTCATTAAGGGGTTTGTGAAACTTGGGCTCCCTTCCATCAGGACAATGTTTGCCAAAGTATGTTCTGTGGATTATGGGATATTCCTAGGTGTTGTAGGATAAAGAGACCCCTGATCGACTAAAACACATCTCTTACAGCCCTAACATATTCATGAATGTTGTGATTATTTTCCCCAAGAAGAAATATGTGGGACCCCAAGACCCCATGGGTTAGGCAACAGACACAGGCCCTAAGACATGTACTCAAGAGGGTAGAGACGCAGATCCTTAGCTCAGGTAAAAGATAGAGGCAGCAGATTAAAGTCTAGATTAAGATGAACACTTAAAGTTGACCTCACAGAGATAACCCTGCTGACACTAAGTGGGAGTCTCATTTGGCCAAGGGAGTTAGTCATTCTCATGATTCTCCTGGTTTTCAGGGCTTTATCCCGCCTCCTAAATTGGGGATTGTGAACTGTCATCCATATCCTTTTTTAAAATTTTTTGGTACCAGGGATGAACTCAGGGGCACTGGACCAACGAGCCACATCCCCAGTCCTTTTTTATATATTTTATTTAGAGGCAGGGCCTCCCTAAGTTGCTGAGGCTAGCTTTGAACTTGCAATCCTCCTGCCTCAGCCTTCTGAGCCGCTGGGATAATAGGCATGCACCACGGCACCCACATTCATATCCTAACCCATGAGTGTTCATTGAAATTATCACACACCTGGACTGACCACTGGATTTCAGATGTGGAATGTCTAAGTGAGCTGCCGTCCTGCTAATGTTCTAAGCCAGGACTTATAAGCCAACTAGGGGGCTTTCTGACACAGGACTGGCCACAGTCCAACAAGTTTGGTCAAGGCATGCGCGCGGGCATGCTTTCTCTCTCTCTCTCTCTCTCTTCTCTAATGCCTCAAGGATTTGATGGGTCTAGGAATACACCTTAGTAAATGTATGCCAAAGGCACTAATTAACCTATCTTCACCTTGAGGGAAGCAGCATCATATGGCCACCACTAGTGTTTTGTAAGCTGAAAATCATCTCCGGACATCTGTCCTGTGCTGTGAATTTCCAGCCTTCCCATGGATTGTCCCTACTGTACAGATTAGGGAAGGTGGAGAAGTTCCTAAAGTGGAGAATCATGTGACAGGCACTGGGATCCTGCTTTGCCAGTGGTGGGTAGCCATCTCTGAAATGGACATATCTATCTCACAAGGATACTGACCGGATAAAATGAAAATGTGTGTTGGGGACTCTCATACTCAACTGCTCCGATATTTACTGGACACTGTTTTGTGGCTCGCCATAAAGAAAAGCCACCATTTTCAGGGAGCCAGTTGGGTATCGTATTTAATGCTTGGCACTTTCTCTTTATTATTGAATGTAATCCTCACAAAAACCTGGTGGGATTGGCTAGTCTAATTTCCATTTTATAGATGAGGAAACTGAATTTCAGAGATTTGGGAAGTTTGCCCAAGTTTACACACCTACAATGATGGAAAACTCAGAGTCAAATCCAAAGCCCTCATTCCATGCTCTTTATTATTATAAGTGTGAAATACCCTTGAAAAAAATAAAATTAAAGCCCACCTCACACGCAAAAACAAATGGCTGAAAATGACATCACTTCAAGGCTGTATTGCATGTGGTTCTATATACTAAGGATTAACAAAATTAATGCTAATCTTTGAAATTAAAGTCAGTGACTTGATGTTGCAAGAACTATGTCCAAAGATTAATTCCACAAGTTACTGGTGGATCAAGCCTCTTTCCTCCTATTTTCTTCCTGCAGAACACAGGGGAAATTGCCACCTATTTCCCAAGGCTGTTGCAAGAAGTAAATTGACCTAGAATATGCAAAAGCAGCTCCAACAGTGTCTGGCTCTTGGCAGACACTCAATAAGTATAGCTGAATGAGATTCTTTGTAACTTATAATCTAACAATGACACACATGAACATGCTGCAGATAGACTGATTTTTAACAACTGAACAATACCAGTAGAGAAAGCACTTGTTTTTCATAATTGCATTTTAACAAGCAGGAGGTTAATATATGCGGTTAGGGCAGGAACAGACTTCAAGGGGGGGTTAGGAGCACAGACTTCAAGCCACACAGCCTGGGTCACTTCCACCCACCAGAAATCCTCAGCTGGGGGCCCTTGGGAAAGCAGCTTAACCTCTCTGTGCCTATCTCCTGGTCTGTAATGTGAGGGGTGGTTGCAGGGATTACAAGAATACATACGTGCAAAGCTCTTGGTGGAGTGACAGGCATACAGTAAATGCTATATGAGCACCTGCCCCATCAGCTGTGTTTCCCTCCCCTGAACCCCTGGAGCACTCTTGAGTCCCAAAGAGATGTGCAGATAACTTTCCACATTTTGGTGTTTTTGTGTGCAGGATTTTCCTCACCTGCTAGATATGCAATTTGAAGCCATCATGTTCTGATTTAGCCTGCATGGGACTCACACTGAAGTAAGCTCTCCATACCTGTGTGTGGAATTTGCAAAAAAAAAAAAAACAAAACAATGAACTAGAACTTGATATTGGAATCCAGTTCCAAGGGACTCCCAGGGCTGTGTGCTCCCCCATCATGCAACCCCATGACTGGGGTCCTTCACTGCCCTGGGTGCTCCTGCCTGGCTGCAGAGGTCCTAAGAATAGTACTGTTCTCTGAAGAAGCTGGCTGAGGCCACAGGAGTTCAACTCGCTCCCACCACACTTTGACCAGCTCACTTACACTAGAGACTTCACACCTGAGCTGAGACACTTGCAGGTGAGAAGCTCAAAAGCACCTGGCATTGCAACATGGGGAAAAGCCCTCTGCCACTGTTCGAAACGTCCATCATTGCTCTCCTGGCACCCACTGGGACACACTTTAGGAAGGGAGCCCACTAGCCATTAGCTACAAGGCTTTTTGCAGCTTGGGAAGGACTTGTCCAGGTCCCAGGGCACTAGGCTGGGGAAAAGAGAAGGAGGCAAATTCCAGAGCCTGGGAACTGAAATTGATCTCTTTCCTCCCCAGGTCCCTGGTGATTGGGGTCCAGTTCACAAAAGTACCAGAGATCCTCAGTATCCAACCCTCCCAGTAAAATGGCCAGAAGTAGCAAACTTGTTCTGGGCTCAGTCATCACTGTGTCTCTTGTTTTGTCCCTAGTCCTCCTCCACTGACATTCAACATGTGAGCCACCCTTATGGGATGCCAACCTGGCATGGACTCCCAAGCTTGGGCTTTGGGAACAATCAGACCTGATTTCAAATGCAGGCTCTGCCAATTATGATCTATGTGATGGCCAAGTTCCCTAACCTGTCTGGACTTCAGCTTCCGATATTACTAATGTCACTACTCCAATTTGACTAATTTCACTACATTGTTGAAATGGATACAAGCTCGTTATTTTGTCTCTGGTGGTGCCTAGCACACAGTTAAGTGTTCAGCAAATTACTCTTAGGGGATACAGTATCAGGTCTAATCATATTGTATGTTTCCCCTTTCCCTGTTGTCATTCAGCTGAGAGCCAGCCAGAGTCACATCAAGGGTAGAGTGGAAAGCTGGGGGACAGTCCTCCCAGATGCCTGGGTGGCATGGTAGAGGGGGAGTTGCAGGCTGAGTGTTTAACTGCACTGCATGTCTGCATGCTTGTGCTGGGCAAGGCATTTGCCAAGTAGGCTGAGCCGTCCTGGTGCCCTGACCTGTCCCCTCTGGATGAGCTTTCTCTCTTCTCCCCCTTTCCCTACTTACCTTTCTCCAGTAAAGACTCCAGGCTCTGAGTGGAAGGGTTGGATGCTTGACTGGGGAAAGAAACACAAGAAAAATTACAGGACTGATAACTGCTGATAGTCCACAATAGCCAACTTTTGAGGACCAACTCTAGGCCTAGAACATTGTGTGCCTATTACTTCACTTCATTATCATGGCCCTACAGGAGAAGTGCTTTTGTTATCCCCACTTTATAGATGAAGAAACTGAGCCTCCGAGAAATTAAAAATATGTCCAAGATCACAAGTTAACAAGTAGGGAGGTGGGACTTGAAATTAGTCTACCTCCGGGGCCTACCAACCATGAGGCCAGGATTTTACTGGGCGCCTTTACTTAAGCCATTTCTAATACTCACACCAACCTTATGAGCTGGGGATCCATCCTCTTTTTACCATTAAGGAAACACATTTAGAAAGGATGAGTGACAGGCCAATGACAAGCAGCTGGTAGGTGTGGAGCCAGGGTCTGGATAGGAAGCCTGGATAGGAGGCCTATGCCAAGGCCTCCAATCCAGCAGAGCTTGGAAGGGGGACTCTAAAGAGAAGGGAAACCAACCTTCAGAAGCACCTAGAATGTGGCTGGCACTTTCCCATAAGGCATCTTATTTAATCTTCATAACCACTTCATCAAGAGGGGATAATTAGTCCCCAAAAGAAAACCAGGCTCAGAGAGATAGAGTTGGCCAAGATCACATAACTAGTAAGCTGTAAACTTGGGATTCATATTAAGTACTGGCTCCCGAAGTCTTGCTCTTTCTTTTGGGGTGTCCCATCTACCACATCTGCTGGCTTTGCAATTTTGCTTAGCTCTTAGATCAAAATCTATTTTCTGCCTGCTTCATGCTCCTGGAGACTGATCTCCGTGGATGGGGTCTCGAGTCCTCTGGCTTCCCGTTTGGATTGGACTAACAGGAAGCTTCCACAATTCAGAGGCCATGAGAGGGAAGTGTTTATTCTGCACCCTTCTCTGCCCTGCTTTGATTCTATGCCTGCAGCTTGTATTGGGTGGTGACTTTGCAAGGCTCCAATTTGTACAGGGTCCTGAGAGCATCACTTCTTCCATGTGCCTCTTCAGGCCTTAGGGGTGGAAATAGCTCCCTGCTGCCCCTCTATCTGTCTCACCATTGCTTGCCATACTTTGCAAATGGTCCCTTCCTCCGTTTGCCTACATAACTGCAGTTAGTGCCCTGGTGGTGCTGGGACCTGCCCAGGCCTCTGAACATTCTTGGAGGCTGCCATCTTGCAGCTACTTAGAAGGAGGGCCAATGATTTCTTTGTTGGTCACAGAGCTCTAGGTCTTTCCCTAACTAATTAGTGGATGGATGGGACAGTGGCCAGGGACTGGAGGCTGGCTGTTGATTCTGCTGTCCCTGACTCTGTCCATCTGGAATTGCAATTTGGTGCAGCTCACCCTCTGCAGGTGCAGTGCCCCACCTTCAATCTGTGGGGTTCCACTAGAGGTTTTCTTTGCTCCCTTCCAGCCCTGACACCCAGGCCTGTGAGCTGACACACAGAGAAGGCAAGACACCTACTTCCCCTGCACAGCAAGGCAATGATGTGAGCACCGGAACCCTGAATCTCAAATGCTTCTTTGCTCTGGAGTGTTTCTTCCACAGTTCAATAAATATTTCATCAGTGGTGACTCAATACAATCGCACCCCCACCCCATCCCCGCCACCCCAGACAGCTTGCAACCTAGAAACTGTCACTGCTCTTTGACACAGTCTGCCACTTTGCCTACCCAGATCCCCATCTTTTCACCTGCCTCTGGCTTTTCTCACCCGGGAGAGCTGGCTGAAATCTCCCATTCATTCCCAGCTGTGCACCGCCAGGAGAGGCTGGGGAGAGGAAGACCGAATGATCAGGCAGGGAGGGCAAGAAGAGCCGCCTCTCCCATCTGTGTAAATACCAGGAGAAGATTCCTGTGAAGCTCTTGGAGATGAGCTGTCTGCTCGGAGAGAAACACCTTCATTGATTCAATATATAATCCGTTCTGGAAAACATGGTCCTTGGAATAGCTCTTAGCTGATTCTCTCATTGGGCTGTCAAAGTTAAACTGCCTTCTGCTCTCAACCGTTTCTCCCACTTGGTGAATGTGGAGAAAAGGCCAGAAAGGAGAGGAGGAAGTGGAGCCCGAAAGGCAGAGGAGGGAGGAGCATGGGTGGGGGAAGGGCCTGAGAAGACAGGGTTTGGGGCTTTGCAGGAGGAAATGTAGCCCCCGACACCTCACACACCCTCCTCTGTAAATATTAGGAGACCTTGTCTTGAGAAAGTGAAGAAAACCCCAGCCCCCCAGTCCTCCCTCACCCCCCACTCCTCCCCCACCCCCCACTCCCCAGCAGTTTAGCTAAAATGCTGTGGGATAGCAAAGAACCTGGCCCAGGGCCATAGGGGAGCAGGAGGAGAAAAGATCAATCTGCGTCCATACCCTGTGGGGAAAGAAGGAAGGTGCTGCAGACAGCTGGGATGCCCGCAGACTGGGCTAAGGGAAGGGCACACGGGCAGAAACTGCTGGTAGAGGGCAAGTGGGGTGAATGAATAGGGGGAACAGAGCCTCAGGTCAAAGAGGAAGAGGCCCTGGATTCCCATTTCCCTTTGGGCTTTTGCTATTGAATTGCATAATTCCTGGCCCCAGGGCAACTCAAGAGTTTCTCTGGCTTGCTCTGGAAATGTCACTGAACTGCCTTAAGATTCTACTTGGGAGTTTTCCTCCTGAGTTTCCTCAAATGGCTCAGATTTACCCTGAAGTTTTAGTGTTTGGTTTCTCTGCCACTTAATTCCAGGGGGCTCCAGAGGAGCCTTTTGGAAAGCTCCTGAGCAGGCAGGCCTCTCTCTGAAAGACTGGGCAAGGCCTGGGAAGGACTTGCCTCCATTCTGGGGTGAGAACCAAGCACCTTGTCCTCCACTGCTCCCCACCACCCCCTTCCCCCACCCTTCCTGAAGAACACAAGCTCAGGCAGGGTAAGAAATGCCACAAGATGGAGTGGGCTCAGAGTAATTCCCGGGAAGATCATGAGCTCCTCTGTACTCCTTGGATTTAAAATGCAGATTCCAAGGAGGGTCATTTGTCTTGCCAATTTAGGGTGAATTTGTTCATCAGGTAGCTGTTTGTACCTGCAGTCCTCGAAAGGGTTCCATCTCTGAAATTTTAGCTTTAAGCATTCAGTTCCCTGGCTGTAAACCTGCTGCTCCTGCAGTTTTCCCCTAAAACCGTCTGCCATTCCTCCTCAAGACCCCCAGCCCCAGCCCTTCGGAATCTATCAGCCTCAGGGCCCTCCCTCCCTTTTCTCCCTAGGGCTCTAGTCTATGTTGACCTTTGACCTCCCCTCACCAGGCTCCTGTGTTCTGACCCAGCTTCCAGGGGTTGCCATAACAAAGTTGCAAAGCAGGAGGGTCCACACAATGGGTCACCCATTCTCCTGCAGTTGTGGAGGCCAGCAGTCCAGAATCATGCTGTTGGCAGAGTCATGCTCCCCTGCAGCCTCTAGGTGTTATGCTCGAATTCGGGACCCCTTAAAGACCACCAGAGACCCAAGATCAATGTAAATAGCAAAGAGGTGTTTATTGCGAGCTAGCACGGTCCTCCGCACGCACAATGCCAAATGCCGCAGTCTGGCTGGGCACAATCAGGAGCCACTTGTCAAAATAAACTAACTTTATTTTTAGAACCACACACGCCAAACAAAACAGCCTCTCAGGAAAAACCCTCAGAGCCTCAACTGCCACCACCGGCTTTCCACAAGCCTCTCTCTCCCCTCCACAAGCCTCTCTCTCCCACACAAGCTTCTTTCCACCTCCCACAATCCTCCTGCTCTTGAGGCCGATTGGCTGGGTCACGTGGGCGGAGCCAAAAAAGTCCCCCAATGAGCAGCTCCGTGGTCTGAAAGGGCAGGGAAACAGCCCAATGAGCATCACCGCAGAGGAGCCAATCAGCTAGATGTTGCTGGGGCCGCTGTGAGCCAATCATCAGCCGGCAGCTGGAAGTTTGCTGGGGCCCCTTCAGCTGTGGCTCTCAACAATTTTACCCTTACAAACCCAAAGAAATTTAATGAAACAGCTCCCAGCAAACTTGAAGATGCTGACTCAAAAGTTCTTCCTGCCCAGATTACTCCTTTGGCCCACCTGTTCCCCATTCTTGACAGAACAAAGGACAGGAATGTGACAGGAATGAGGGAAAGCTAAATGAAGACTTCAGCTATAAAAATGGGAGACAACCGTGCTTCCAAAGATTCCATCTCTTGGGTCCCCTTCTTCCTCCGGGAGAAGCCTTTTCTGCTGTCCTTTAATAAACTTCTATTTTCCACTCTGACCTTGCCTCCGCGTGCTTCTCTGGTGTTATTCTTCAACATTGGGGAAGCAAGGACTCGTCACCGGTCAACAGCGGTAACACTACCATGGGCCCTTCTGTTGAACCTGCCTTCCAAAACCCTGAGTTTAGCCCTTGACTACAATTGAGCATCTCCCTTTTGACCCTGGGGCTGCTGAGCTCAGCTCTTAGCTGTGCCTGCTCCTTGCTACTCTCAGTGCTCCCCAGCACAGCGTTGCCTCCTTCCCTCAGAAACCAGCTCAACGGTTGCCCAAGGAAGGGTGCTTTTCCTCTAGTTGAAATGTCTCTGTTTCCTGTCAGCCTGGAAAACTCTTAGTCACCTTCAAAGTTCAGTTCCAAGGTTACCGCTCCTGGGAACCTTCCTTGACCATCCTGGCCTGCACCCTTTTGGTCCTGTACGGATCCTGATTTCTCAGTTATTTGTCTGCATGTTTGTCTCTCTTCTCTCTTGAAATCAAGGGCATTTTACTCATTTTTTACTTCCTTCATCTCTAGTATAGTGTAGATATTTAATAAATATTGAAAGTGTTTAATAAAAGGTGGGGAAAGATCTCAGTTCAACTGAGTAGAATCTGCCCAGAAGAGATGACTCTGCCCCAGGCACCTTACCTAACTGCATGTTCTCCTGAGTTCCCAATGTCAATGGGTAATGGAGGTGTTTGGATTTGTTATGCTCGAATTTGGGATCCCCAAAGACCACCAGAGACCCAAGATCGATGCAAGCAGCAAAGAGGTGTTTATTGCGAGGTAGCTCAGTCCTCCGCGCGCGCACACACACACAGCAACTGGTGAGGCTGAGAGGCCCCGAGCCCAGGGTTTGCAGCATTTTTATACATTCTTTGGAGAGGGCAGGGACTTCACATACATCATAGCCTCTTTTAGCAAATCATCACACACCGCGGGAAAATCAAATAACAACTCTAAAACATGATTAGCACATTCACTGGCTGGAACAAGTTGGGTAGGGGTGATTGGTCAGTACAAAAGGGGTATTCATTTGAACTGATTGGTTTAAGCCAAGAGGGGTGTACCTGCTGAACTACATGGTTTCCCAACTTGTTATCAATCACCATAATTACTGGGAGGGTCATCTGGCATCCCAGGTATTTCCCTGTCACATGCTGATTGGTGGCTGCTAGGGGGCTGCTATGGGTCCCCACCTAGCCTGACTGAGTCAGGGACACCTGGCAGCAGATCTCTCCTGTTATTTGTAGATAAACCACTTAGCAGGGTGGGAATGTGCTTAGGAGTGCTCTGTGGGTTTTTCCAAGGACAAAAGCCATGTCCCTTCCTTGGACAGGCTTTGCTCTGAGATAGAGGCTGGTTTTTCAACAGGCACAGGGTCCATTTCCTATTAAGGGTTTTGCTGTGGCTCATTGCAGGTAACTAGAGAAGGGCAGTCACAACTTGAGGATGTTTTGAAGCTTAAAAAAAAAATGCTATGGTGTTTTTTCAGCTGGGCTCCTGATTTTTTTTTTCCTGGGCTTACAAGAGCAATCCCCTAGCCCAGGACCCATCAAACCCATTTCTTCATACAGAAGATGAAAATATCATCCACACATACCTCTGACCAGGCCCATTCTGAAGGGTGCCTGACTGTGGGGGGTTGCAATTTCTGGGACCTCCAGATTAATACTCACCTCACTTATGTCTTTAATGTTCTCCAAACACCTGCCCCTCCCCACCCAGGCTCCCTTGTGATTCTTAGAGCAGAGGTTCTTTCCTTTTGTAATGTAACAGACCTCTCAGCAACTTGGTGAGGCCTATGGGACCTTTCTCAGAATAAAGTTCTAATGCAGGGGCTGGGGGTGTGGCTCAAGCGGTAGTGCCCTCGCCTGGCATGCGTGAGGCCTGGGTTCGATCCTCAGCACCACATACAGACAAAGATGTTGTGTCCGCCGAGAACTAAAAAATAAATATTAAAAAAAAAGTAAAGTTCTAATGCAGAAAGTGAAATACATAGGATTATAAAGGATATCAATTTCTTGGAAATAGTTATCAAGAAGATGTTCAAAATTTTGCTATGTGATACTATGTAAATTTTGTCACTGTTATGCTAAATAATATGGTCTGACTTCTGATCTAATCATTGGAATTATTAGACACCCTTGTCTCTTGGTGATGGGGTGACATCAGGATCCCATGACCCTTCTTAAATGGCCCCTTTAGGAGTGAGGCCCTGTGGGAGAGGCAGCCATCACTTTCAGACAATTCCTGAAGGGCGTATAAATTCCTGAGGCAGGTGCAGGGAGGCCCAGACCTCCTTTCATTGCTAGCTTTGGAGAACTTGGAATTTTATTAAGGGAGGTGGTCTCCTGCTTTTCACCCCTGCTCCTTTCCTGACTCCTTCTTGCTTCCAAGCAGTAGATGCCACCTTGGTACCTAATTCCCAGGAGACCACATTTGGATGGGAATTTTCTCTGCCTCTGGAGTTCTGGTCTGAGAATCCTTTGTCCCCATTACAAGTTCCTTCACCACTCTTCACCCTACTGAGGAAATCCTCTCTTCCCCTACACACCCGCCAAATAGTGTAGCCTTAACTCACAGTTGTATCTGAATTCAACGTTATATTTAATAACCATCCAGGAAAATGGCACACACAGTGTAAGAGGGTCTACTCTGTACCAAATTTGATTTTGTATTTGAAATCTATACCTTCCTGGAGCATAGTTAGGAGCATGGTACTTGCAGCCACTCAGACTTGGGATGCACTTATACCACATACGAGCTACATGACCTTTAAGAATTTGATTCATTTTTTCTAGTGTTTGTGTGCTAATTTGAA